AGAGAGAGAGAGATGGATAGGGATTGGGGTTCGAAACCGGGGAGTGGAGGCGCGGCGTCCGCACAGAATGAGGCGATCGACAGGAGGGAGCGGTTGCGGAGGCTGGCCCTCGAAACCATTGACCTCGCCAAGGACCCCTACTTCATGCGCAACCACCTTGGAAGGTAAGGTTTTTTCTCTGCCTTCTTCTCTCTCTTAATATGCCAAAATCCCAACCACTCTCTCTCTCTAGTCTGTCAACATTGAGTAATCAACTCTCTCTCTCTCTGTATTTAGGGTTTATGTTTGTTTGTTGTGGTTGATAGCTATGAGTGTAAGCTTTGTTTGACACTGCACAACAATGAGGGCAACTACTTGGCACATACTCAGGGGAAGCGCCATCAGACCAACTTGGCAAAGAGAGCTGCACGTGAGGCCAAGGAGGCGCCTGCTCAGCCCCAGCCGAACAAGCGCAAAGTCGCCCTTCGAAAATCAGGTTTTTTTTTCCCATTGTTAATCTCTGATGAAGATCCGAATACCTGAAACCCCAATTTAACCGATCACTTAATATCACACACTCAATACCAAACACTCAATTCCAAGTATGTAAAATCGATGATTCAATAATAAGCTCAAGGATAATGTGCAACAATTTAGATAATAAATTAGAGACGGAAAACATAGTCGTGAGAGAAAATTAGAGAGACAAACTACAACACCAATTTAACGTGGTTCACCCTGTAGGGCTACGTCTACGGGCAAGTCGGCAAGTATTCCACTATCAAAAGAAAAATTTACAAGGGGATATAGTGTTACCTTAAAAGGAAAAAATTGATGAAAAAACATTACCAAAAATATCTTCCTTGTGATCATCCAAAAGAACACGATTTACCTTGCTTCACTTCGGATATCGCAAGAACATGAGCAATACATGCTCATACCATTTCTCTCAAAAATAGAACAAGAAAATTCTTCTTCACCCTATTCCCTTTCTCAACACAATCCAAGAAGCTCTGGCCCCCTTTTAGAGAGAGAGAGAGAGAGAGAGAGAGAGAGAGAGAGAGAGAGAGAGAGAGACGAGTACGAACGAACGAAGAAGAAGTACGTAGTACTAACTAAACTTAAACTTTACCGTTTTTACGTTTTTTAGTTTTTACTTTACTACGTACCTAACCTAACTACTA